TCGATTTACAGCGTCAGCTGCGCACAATAGCATGTTTTCTTGTTAAAGACATCTCTGTTAAGGTTCAGTGCTCGTAAGAGTCCATTCTTGATGTCACCCTCCCGAGCACTGGTAATCAGTTTTGTTGGAAAACACGCTGTTAATCGTTCCGCTCTGGTTTGGAGAGATGTAAGACCTGTCTCTATGCGTAAGTTTTCAATTTTTGTCCACATAGGTGCCTTGACAATGGCTCTCATAGCGTTATTCTGGGCAACTTCTAATTTCGCCCACTGCCCCTCAGACAGTGTGTTTAGAACCGGTGTCGCATATTCTGTTAATGATCGAATGGCGTGTATATATAGCGCTCTTAGGACTACAAGTCCCGCACCCACCTTGGGTCTTGTCATGGCTCTCATCATGTTGACTCTCTCTAGTTTATCTCAGTATCAAATTTGAGGCATTTGTCCTTGACAGGTAACTCTTGCAGTTCTGTTCTGGAGATAGTCAGCAATCCAAGCCAGTAGGTATCTCTTGACGCCTTTCCGGGCCAGAGTGGTTACAATGGCCTGTGCATTTGCCAGCTCAAATGCTTTCTCTAGATCAAGGAATACTACGATTGCCTTATTTTGACCAATCGATCCCAGGAGAGTGGCCAAACTGTGTGCAGTGCTAAGACCTTTGGTGAATCCAGAGATATTGTGGCGAAGTCGTCCAGTTTTCCAGAGGAGTCGTGTAAGGACCATCCTTTCGGCGGTTTTGCCGATGCATGCTGTTAGTGATATTGGTCTGAAATTCGGGGGATCATTGGGTTTGGGAATAGGAACAATGTTTGCTCTTTTCCAAGCTGACGGGAGTTTGCCTGCTGACCATGATGCGTTTATAACTGTTAGGAAAGCAAGTTCACCAGCAAGTCCTGCATTGCTGAGCATTGAATAGGTTATACCATCACTGCCAGGAGCGGTGTCTTTGCTTGTTTTCCTGGCCCTTCTGATTTCTTCTATAGTAAACAGACAGTCTGTAGTGTCAGCGTGTTCAATTGCATGTCTGACTACTACTTCTCTCTCCAGTTGTACTTGCTGATGACGAGCGTTCTGCAAAATGCTCTGCCAAGCGTTTTGCTTCCTGTAGTGGCTGGGGTGGGCTGGAGATCTGGACAATTTTCCTGTTGCTATCCTAAGTTTTCTCCAGAGTTCACTCAGGCTGGTGTGTGCATCAAAGGTTGCACACCACTCGAGCCATTTGTCCTCCCTAATTTTCTGAGTAATTTGACGAGCATGTTGAACAGCAGCTCTCACGAGTTTCACTCCCTCAGGGGAAGGGTATTGTCGGAGATGTCTTCTGAATGTGTTGATTCTGTGATTCTGTTCTCTGACTTCGTCATTGTAGAACCAGTAGTCTTTGTGGTGTCTATTTGTAGGGTTTGTTTTTGGTATTGCTTTTTCTGCTGCGTGTTGTATGGCATCAGTAAGGTCCTGGTTTAGTTGGTTAATATCCTCTGCCGGTTCAAAGTTCGAAAACCATTTTTGGAGTTCATCTTGATATAATTTCCAATTTGCTTTCTTGGTATTCCATCTGGGTGGCGGACGTGGGGGGAGGAGGGAGTAGTTCCATTCTCAAAGTAGTTGTCGTTTCAAAGTGGTCACTGATCAGTTCATCATCCACCTCCCACTGAGCTACTGGAACGAGCTCAGTGGAGATGAATGTGAGGTCCAATGTTCCTCCCAGTATGTGTGTTGGTTCCCCAGTATTAATGAGCGTTATTTCTGGAACATCTGTCAGCAGTTCCACTAGGTGATGACCATCCTGATTCATTTTTGTAGTCGAATTGAACGTTGGATGGTGGGCATTGAAGTCCCCAGCAATGAGCACAAGTTCCTGTGTTGCTTGTGTCAGTAGTTCACCGGCTTCTAGTCGTTTGGTAGGCGGTTTATAGATATTGTATACTACAAGACTGTCGTTTGCCAGGTGTATCCGAACAGCTTGTGCCTCTACTCCATCTCCACAGTGAAATGGTTCTACTTCTGAACTGGGGATGGTCGCCCTGACGAGAATCATGCTGCCATGGGAGTTGGGCCCCTTTGGTACAGAGTACTGTTGGTATCCAGGCAAACGGAATTGTTTATCTTGGGACATCAGGGTTTCTTGCAGAATGAAGACATCAATATTTTTAGCTATGGCTGCTGCTTGTACAGTATGCCGTTTGTTGGTCAGACCATGTACATTCCACTGTGTTATCTTGAGATTACAAGGAGGTGGGGCTATTCTATCATTATCTCCTCGTCGCTGGTGCTGTAGTTGCTCTCAGCGTTCATGGTTGAGTCGCTCTCCTCCTCGTCCGTTAGGAGTGGAGGCTGTTTCTTGGGCACCTGCTCTGAGGGAGGAGTAGGAGGTGGAAGCTTGCTTGTTTTGGGAGGTATCTCGGGAGCTTTTTCTTCTCTCTTCGTGCTGTCGCTCTTGTCTGTGATCGTGTGTTTGCTGACGGTAAGTGCTTGTTGTTCTATTCCTCGTGATCTGTTGCAAGGGGCTTGAGGTTTCACGGTTTTGAGTGATCTCTTGGATGGCAAGTTCTTCCTCTTGTCTGATATATGTCTCAAGGGCGTCGTCTGTTCCACTCGTAGTTGTGGAGTTTTGGGGGTCTGGTCTTCCTGCATCTTTTCTGTGAGCTGTGTCATAACTGCGTTTATTATATTTTCGGTGCTGTATCTTGTTTCTGCATTATCGTAGAGAAAGTCACTATCATAATAGTGATCATCTGTATTATTTGTTCTTCGGTGAATGCCTCTTGTAGATTGGCAGGCTGGGGTGTATTCAGTTGGGTGGTCTGTCCCGGAGGTGAGGTCACACCATCTCATAGTCCCTTTCTTATTGGCCAGTTCCGCTATGGCGAGCTGTGATGTTGAATGACGTCAGTAATTGCTGCTTGAACCAGCCCAACGAGTCTTTAGCCAGTTGGTCCACAGTCATGGCATAACAATTGTATATGCATCTATGTCTAAGCCATGTATTCCAAATTGTCAAACAGTTACAAAAGCAATCCAAAATCTTAAGTAAAATAAGGATTTACATATTACTAAAACAGATAAAGCGAAAACATTAGTGATTTTAAACAAAGATGATTATCTATATAAAATGAAGGACCTTTTATGTGATGTTGCAACGTATTTTAAGCTCATAAATAATCCTCTCAACACAGTTAACACTCAGTTTAACAAAAAACTTAAGTCTCTGGTGAGAGGTGAAGATAATCTCATTAAACAGTTTTTTCAACTTCCCCTCCACTTCCATACATGTACGGTATTATCAAGACTCACAAAAAAACACAATAACCCAACAAGACCCACCATTAGCTCAGTTGGGTCAATTTCTTATAAGTTATCTAAATGGTTAGTTTCTTTACTAAATCCCCTAGTTGGCAATATATCAAACTCTAATATTAAGAATAATGTGAATTTAGTTGACACACACATAAATAATGATTTTAAACTGGTCAGTTTTTATGTAACGTCACTCTTATCAAAGGTCCCAGTTGATGATTTGCTTGAGTTCCTCACGGACTCCCTGGAGGACATTCCCCAGCCCGTCTCATGAAAATGTTTTCATTGAACTTATCAAACTGTGTATTAAGGATTGTAAATTTTAATTCAATGGAGAATATTATGTTCAGAAATTTAGTATTGCGTTGGGTTTTCCGCTTTCACCAGTGATGAGAAACTTATATATGGAATTTTTTGAGAAGAAACTACTAAGTAATATTTTACCACCTTCAGCAGTTTGGTTTAGATGTGTAGATTATGCAATATGACTTTGACCATGTAATGAGGACTTAAAGGCCTTTCTACCACTACTTAACAATTAGAGAGTGACTGCAAATTACCATTCCTAGACTGTCTGGTCCACAGAGTAGGTAACACCTTTAAGTTGAGTATTTATAGGAAACCTACTAACGTGTGTTCATATATTCATTATTATTCTGCCCACCATAATAAAGTAAAAAAGTCAGAATTTTCATCAATGTTTTTACGTGCTCTACGAATATGCAGTCCGGAATTCATTGACGAGGAATATAAATGTATCTATAATATTGGATTGAACTTAAAATACCCTAGTTCTTTTATAGACAAATGCCTTAACATTACTAAGAAATCATTTATAGAACTGATTCTAAACCTCACCATGGCAGTAAGAATCTCTTAGTATTATCACTTAACCAAAAATTATCTAAAATTCCTCTATAACGGAAAACCTGGAACGTAAATGTAACGTAACATTTAGTAAATCGTGCACTGTAAAACAAATTTTAATTAAGAACTTCCCCAGTAATGAAGACGGCTGCATTTACAAGGTTGCTTGCAAGGAATGTAATATGGTCTGCTTAGACCAGACGGGAAAAGATCTTATAACTAGACTTAAACAGCATAAATATAGTGCTAGGACAGGCCAGGAATCCAAAGCTTTGTTCATTCATCTGAGAAATAACAAGCATTGCATTGACTGGGATAATGCCTCCTCAATATTACCTTGTAATTCAATTGTCAGTAGGAACATTATAGAATCCAGTTTCATTAAACATACCGAATCTGTCAACATGAATTTGAGTAATGGCATGTGCAAATTGAACAATTTTGTGGACACCTGCTGTCTCTAGGGACTTGATCTCATTTTCCTTTACTGTATATATTAGCCTTGTCAATAATTACTCCGTCTGTATTCACCTCTGAATAAGTGAATTGCACGAAAGCCCTTGGGAACTTCGTGTTTTCTTGTTTCCTATATGGTTATCAACATATACAGTATATATATATATATATATATATATATATATATATATATATATATATATATATATATATATATATATATATATATGAATGCAGAAGTAATGATTTCTTATTAATGATCTCATGCTGTGCCTATTTTCCAAATACAGTAAACTACTTGCCGAACCGACTCATTTTGTTCTTTAGTAATCTGCAGTTTTTATAATAAAATTTCATTATTTATACTTCCTTTTATTGGCAGTTAATACATAGCTTATCTCCATGTGCATAATTTTTTCTACCTATTATGAAGTGAAAATACCCATCTTAACGTCCATAAATAAAACATGATCGTGTAGATGGTATAAACACGATCACTAAAGAGACAGTTCTTTGGGAAAATAAATCCTTACTCGAAAAATATATTGGTGGTTCATCAAGTATCTTCTTATCTAATTAACTAAATATAACTAAATAGTCAGCTTATCACTCCAATTTCAATTCTAGTGATTTTCTTAATGTCTCCATCAACGGTGGTGAAGAAAGTTACGCCAGAGGCTGAAGATGCTACAAAGTGTATCAGTGAGGAGGGGCGGCGCGGTTGCTGCCGTATTTCTCCAACAGCAGGATGATGAATGCGATGCCAGAACCTCCCGTCAATAGGTAAAAAGCTCCTTGTAAGTGGTGCATCCCCAGCACCACCTGTGTGTCGGCCTAAGGGAGGTATGTACGATTAAGTTTGAGGAATGCTTCAGAACACAGGTGCACATATGGTGTTGTTCTACATCAATGAAAAAACCCCACAAAAACATAGAACTAGTCAATATGAGCACTGAGTAACAGTAAACTTCTGATGAAATTAACCTGCGGTGTGTCCTTTACGAGGTCCAAGGTTGCAGCCTCCCTGTTTTCTTTCACACGCTTGTCTATCACCTCTTCAGTCCAGTACTCTATAATGCCAGCATCTTCCAGTCGTGATATCATCAGATTAAATTTTGCATAAAATGGTGCACCTTTCCTGAAGTTACACATGAGAATATTAGTACTTTGAGAAACGCAGAAGCAATACTGTGTGAAGAGAGTAGTACTGCAATGAAAAGCGAATATAAGGTAAACATTAAACTCTATTCACAATTAAATATTCTCTAGTTTTAAGAACCCTACTCACCTGAATCCCCACCCAAAGCACAGTAGCACATAGATCCCATTGTTACTGATGTAGAAGGGCGTCTCTCCCTTGTTATTGGCGAACCAGGAAGAAACGAATACCTTCACGTAGTTCTTCACGCTAATGAAGGAGAAGCCACCCTCCAGCACCTTCTCCAGTGACTCCTTTATAACGTACACCTAGGGCAAAGGATTGTGTTATACAATTTGATTTTTAAGGTTAGCTTATAGTATTATTACAAGTTAACATGAAAGTACAAATATGCTTTCATCGCAAAATCCATTATGTCATCATCTCGCCCTTGCTACTTATCATTTTAATATTAATTTTCTGCATAATAGAAATGTTATTAATTTTATCATTATTGATGGCAGATATACAGATTGATAAATATGGCAAATTTGTGTAAACAAAATAGCATCAACGCCTCTCGTTTGCAAAGAAGTGAGAAATTTGTTATCATATGTGGGTGGAAGAAATGCCCATCCCTGGAGTTTATGGGTACTGACCTCCATTGCGTCATTGATCTTCTTCACCACTGGGTCAGTATTTTTTGAAAAATATTCCAAGGTTGCCCCACTAAACTGCCAAGGTTCAGTGCTCCACCTCCAACCGTCTTGATCTAAAAGGTCTTGGAAGGTGTCCAGAGTGTCCGATATTCCCTGGACTGTCAGGTGGGCCATCAACGAAGAGCGGTATCCTGTACTTATGACCAGACAAAACACCAGCCACCACCCCACCAGAATCTGTATATAATGCAAAAGTGACAAATAAGCAACAGTTTGAAGATGGGACATTTGTATTGGGGCAGGTCTCCGATACCACAATTTTTTTTATATAAATTCTCATGCCAGTTGGGAGGGTGTACACCATTGTTTAAGTTTGGGTTAAGGTCAGGAGACATAACTCACCTCAGGTCACTATATCACCTTAGGTCACTTATCTACTACGTGCGCCTGGCCGAAGTTGTCCAAAGTCAATCTGAATACTCTTGTTGTTGTTTATCCCGAATAATATTTCAGACACTTTTAGGCTGGGAAACTGTGTTAAAATGTACACAATAATGGCTTTTTTCTATTTAGTCTTTGATTCATGTTAAACCTCTCTGTCTCCAGGTGACATGGAGTGAACGTACCATAACTTTTTTATTTTGGTTTTCTCATTTCAAGTTGATGATAATATTATTAATATGTGAATGATGAAATATTTTCTATAACTCGTTATGAAATATTTGGCTTGTATGAATGTATTAATGCTTATTCTTAGGTCATGGTTCGTTCACAAGTCCGATATCAATGTTGCATATACCAATGAGAAGGAGGAGGAGTACTCATATGGCCCAGGGTCATGAAGGCCACTCATGCAGTCCACTGAGATGGAGGGTCGTTCATGCGGCCCACTATGCTTTCAACTCTTAAATTCAAGTTATTTAGCATTTAAAGGTAAAGGATAAGAATATGATTTCGTTGCATTTTGTTTTAGACTTAAAATATCAGAGGACAATAGGGAAAATGTGTTTTGAGTGAGAACAACTTTGTGTTAGTATTGATGACAATGTTTACATTACTTAGTGCTTAATAAATGTATCCTAGTATATAGTTTCTTAGAATAAATCTTTTGACTTCCCGAAATCACCTACTTTCAGAAAACGCCTTCACCCAGAGCAGTATGTTTTCTAAGTAATAAAGTTAATTTAGCATTAGTTTTGAGCGTCGGTTGACAAGGTAATAGGGGTGGGGGTGATAACGGTACGTATAAATAAGTGAGATGATAATCAACATGACTCATAATTCAGCAGATTCAGTTTCGACATGTATTGAACCACTAGCATGATGAATTAAAGGAGTTTTAATGTGTAGTGTGAGACAATTTTATTTTATTACTTAAGTACAATATGAACTAGGTAATTTTTACTCTAGTTTCAGAACAATTTAGGAATACCCTAGTATTTTAAATCTGACTTAAGTATCATTTCGTCAGATTTTTTTATAAATGAACTTGAGTAGAAAACTCTTTACACCCTTGCTCGGTATCATCATTCTGATGCTACATGGAGGTAATCTTCAGGTCCTGATCACCGTCGCGGACTTAGTGGTCTCGGCTACATAACTGAAGTAACACACACACACACACATATATATATATATAAATATATATATATATATATATATATATATATATATATATATATATATATATATATATATATATATATATATATATATATATATATATATATATATATATATATATATATATATATATATATATATATGCTGATAACTACAAGGAAAGAAGAAAACAGAAGTAAACACACACATATATATATATATATAGTATATATATAATATATAATATATATATATATATATATATATATATATATATATATATATATATATATATATATATATATGCTGATAACCACAAGGAAAGAAGAAACACTATAATATACATATATATATATATATATATATATATATATATATATATATATATATATATATATATATATATATATATATATATATATATATATATATGCTGATAACCACAAGGAAAGAAGAAAACACGAAGTAACACACACACATATATATATAAATATATATAGTATATATATATATATATATATTATATATATATATATATATATATATATATATATATATATATATATATATATATATATATGCTGATAACCACAAGGAAAGAAGAAACACGAAGTTCGCTTTCGTGTAATCTACATCTTCAGGGGTGAGTACAGACTAGAGAGAGAAACAAATCAAGTGTAATACAGAGGAGGGTGAGACCAGGTCCACAATGGTCAGGTATTAGGTAAGACCCTACTAATCTAAATAGCACACAACGGTTGGTGGTCAGGTCAGGTCAGATGGTCAGGTGACCCGGCCTTTTCACCTGGTCACAAATCTTCTTAATTACAAAATTGTCCAGCTTGTACATGCCGTTACTCAAATTCATGTTGAATGCTTCGGTATGTTTAATAAGACTAGATTCTATGATGTTCCTACTATCAATTGAATTACATGGTAATATTGAGGAGGCATTATAAATTCAAAATTGAAAGAGAAATAAATGGATCCCTTCCATTTCTTGATATGCTTATCATGAGAAATGGCCAAAACTATAAATTTAAGGTATATAAAAAGCCCACAGGTAGACAGTTTCATTCATTTTTTATCGAATCACCTTGAGTCTACCAAAATGTCAGTTTTTTCTGCTATGTTTTAAGATGTCTGCGTATTTGACTGACTTTATTGACGATGAATTGTAACACATTCGTTCCATTGCACAGAAACTCGGTTACCCTTCTGTGTTTGTTGATCGTTGTTTTATATAAAAATCCTTTCATTCCTCTCAAACCAGACAAATTACTACACTTAAGAATATTTTGACCTGCCCTATCATGAATTTGTCCCGTTAGTTCGGTCCTCAAGTTTCTAAATATTAATGTTGTTTTCAAGTATGACTCAACTATTACCAATATGAAATAATAAGAAATAGAAGTTTGAATGTAAATGGAAGTGTTTATTGTATTCCATGTAGCAAATGTAATTGTAATTATGTAGGACAGGAAAACAGCAGCTCAGAATCAAACAACAAAAGTATAATATCGGAACAGCATCTGCTGCCCTGTTCGTTCATGTTAGAATAATAATCACCCCATTGCTTAAAAAAGCTTGAAAGTTTCAAATCATCTTGTGTCACAGAAAGACTTCTGGTTGTAGTTTGATTAAGGAATTAAAATCAATAAACCTTAGTGATGGTCAGTTCAAAACTGATATTACATAAATATATTTGTCAGTGGCCCAAGGTTAAAAAGGCTTTGGCTTTGATGTATGATAGTTATTTAGTGGGTCCCATATTTCTGACCTGACCTGACTAGTCACGTCACCACCCTTCTCTTAAGCTCCTCTACGTGTGTGTTGGGGGGGATTAGTGGATGACATCATTATGACCTGACCTCATGTTTAAGGTCACCCTGTATATTTAAGCCTCTCTGTCCATGTAATCCAGTTGCCTCTGAAGTCTTGAATAAAGACGAAAGCTAAGGTGCTCTGTTGTTTCTTTTCCGTGTGATTTTATCAAATTTATCTTATCCACGTTTTCATTGTGATTTACATGAACTAATATATATATATATATATATATATATATATATATATATATAAATATAAAAATATATATATATATATATATATATATATATATATATATATATATATATATATATATATATATATATATATATATATATATATATATATATATATATATATATATATATATATATATATATATATATATATATATATATATATATATATATATATATATATATGCGTAATCACTGTAGGTAGAGATATAAGCTGAAAGAAGAAACACGAAGTTCCCGCCTCTCTAGTCTGTACTCACCCTGAAGATGTGAATTACACGAAAGCGCTTGGGAACTTCTGTGTTTTCTTCTGTGGTTATCAGCATATATATATATATATATATATATATATATATATATATATATATATATATATATATATATATATATATGTATATATATATATATATATATATATATATATATATATATATATATATATATATATTATATATATATATAATATATATATATATATATATATATATAAATATATATATATATATATATATATATATATATATATATATATATATATATATATATATAATTTTAGGTAATACAAGAGAGAACATCTGCTCATCTTACTCTTCCTGAGTCGCTGACACAGGGGTTGGAGGGTGGTTGCTCCAGGACGGCGCCCCAGCCATACATGAGGGCGGTGCTGAACTTTACACCACGACCTCTTGTAAACCACTGCGACGCCCTATGTAACACCCACATTACCACACCCCACGTCAACACGCTCACCAGCAGCCCAAGCCACAGTTCTCCTGAATAGGAAGGATAATAGTTTACGGCTGAGTAAACGTGTACCGATATTTCGATATGAATGTTTTTGCTTTGCCTATTTCAGGAAAGGGAGAATAATTGTTTTGGAAGGTTTGTGTGACACAATAAATTTAGTTTTCTTAAAGAACATTGATTGATTTATGCCTTAGGTATGTAAAGAGGTTAATACTGTACTGCTTTGTAAATGTTTTTTTAGCATATTATAATGAAATTTGCAATCGTTCATCTCCGAGAAACGCACAAAATGGCATTGGCCTCACGTGCATAAGTTATCTAGACAACAAAAAGAGATTCACTTAACCCAAAAACTCTCAAGAAGAAGGGATAAAGTTCGAGTCATACCTTCAAATGGCCTGACCAGAGAAAGGTGTGCAGGTAGGAGCGTGGGCTTTAGAGAGGTTATGACCATCTTATCAGCTTGATACAGCCTTGCAAACAAAGAAACTTGGAGGCGTCCTCGTGTGGGCGCCACTATGGTGCAGAAGTCTGCCTCTTCACGCTGCAGTTTTCCTATATTCCCAGTGTACTGTCCATTACGTAAGTCACCGAAGGCTCGCCCCGGTGACTCTCTTATTTCATAACTGTTGGAGTTTTTTGCATTTTTGTTAATAGATTTTAAGAGAAAAGGGAAATCAGAGTAAAAACACGAACATATATGGACTGATATATATATATATACATATATATATATATATATATATATATATATATATATATATATATATATATATATATATATATATATATATGCAAATCAATCACTGTAGACGCGGTGATCCAGGTATATGCTGATAACCACAAGGAAAAAGAAAACACGAAGTTCTCAAGAATGTGTAATCTACATCTTCAGGTGAGTACAGACAAAATGAAGTGCAGAACAAAGTTATATATATATATATATATATATATATATATATATATATATATATATATATATATATATATATATATATATATATATTTCAGAGGAGGGGAGAACAGGTCCACAGAGGTCAAGTATAGGTAATGACCCGACTAATCTTACAAAGGCACCGCAGGGGGTAGTCAGGCCAGAGGGAAAAACTGACCCACCCTTCTCACCTGGTTACAAATCTTCTTAATTACAAAATTGTCCAATTTGTACATACCATTACTCAAATTCATGTTAACAGATTCGGTATGTTTAATGAGACTAGATTCTTATAATGTCCTACTGTCAATTAAATTACAAGGTAATATTGAGGAGGCCATCCAGTCAATGCAATGCTTGTTATCCTCAAATGAACGAACAGAGCATTGGATTCCTGGCCTGTCCTAACACTGTGTTTATGTTGTTTAAGTCTAGTTACAAGATCTTTACCTGTCTGGCCTAAAAACCTATTACATTCCTTGCACGGACTTTATATATGCAACCATTTGTATTATTGGGAGTTCTTGATTAACATATGTTTAACAGTGCATGAGTTTTAAATGCCACATTGACGTTCCAGTTTTTAGGTAAAGGAATTTGAGAGAAATTTTGTGAAATGTTAGAAATTACTGGAGATCCTAGCTGTCTTTATTCAAGACGAGCTAAGGTTCTCCAGTGTTTCATTTCCTGTGGGGTTTTATATTATTTATCGACGTTTTCCATTGTGATCTACATGATACATGTATATGTATATGTAATTATATATATATATATATATATATATATATATATATATATATATATATTTATATATATATATATATATATATATATATATATATATATATATATATATATATATATATATATATCATCATTCTATATAGCACGACTTCCATATACAACAATACCTCACTAGTCCGGAATCGAACCTTGAACTTCTCCGTGTGAACAGGGATCTCTGCGTGTGTGTGTGTGTGACACTAGAGACTAGATAAAGACGTTATTCCTCAATCAGGATAAGCTGATGGAAATTTTATAGCAAATTTTAAAATTAGCTAAGTTTCATTTAAGACATCGTTTAACATCAAAATATAGGTAAATTATACCTAAAGAAGGTTAGGTTAGGTTAGATTTTTCTATAAATGTATTCATTGATAAATATTATGTGATATTATTTCCATACACCGACAAATGCACCGATCACCAGGACGGTTATTTTTTATTACAGGTCGTAATTTCAATTTGGGTTATAATAGTTATCTCTTGGGGAAATTTAATGTCTTTCTGGTAACATGACGCGAGGAGGATGGATGGTATTAAATTACTGGCCTCTTCGCCGTTAGGCTATTTCGGCCGAAGCTGGATGGTTGGACTTCTTCCTTTTCTTGTTTCTTCTTTTGCTTTTCAGTTTCCATTCTTCTTCGTGGTCTTCTTCTGGGATATTCTCATACACTCAATAAACGATGTTAAAGATAGTGTAATGAAATCGGGTTTAATTGTTGTGATCGTGTTCTGGTCTTGCTTGTTCTTTTTGATTTTTTCACTACAAGGAGGGCCTCCTGTAGCCTGTCTTTCCTTAGTCCGCAGCTTGGCCACCTGCACTCGTCCTCCACTTGGAACACTCCCGGTCGGAGGAGGAGGAGGGCCACCACAAGCTGCGGATTTTCTTGGCGGCTGCCACAGTTATGTCCTGGTGCCCGGTGTCCTGCAGCTTGAACACACCTCCGGAGCACGACACCTTCCTGGCCAGATGGCCGTACTGGGATCTTCTCTCATCCCAGCAAAACGGAGCTAGGACGTTTTGGGAAGCCAACCAGGCAACTGCATTGTTAGCTTCGAATTGGAGAGCTGATCTCCGATCAGCTCGGCAAGTTCTTTTTTTCGAGATGTTCGATTTCTGTGGGAGATGATTTCAAACCAAGTTGTCCTAGGCAGGCTTCAACTTGGATCTCGATTCCATTGATTTGTCTTATGTTTTCTAATTGCTGGGCCTCCCTCATTCCGCGGGTGGGACGATAAGGTCACCGCTGTCACTGCGGACGACCCCTGTCACCCCCGTGATTCCCGAGGAGTCAAAAAACTTCCTCAGAACAAGGAGGTTGAGTTGCTTGCGCGAAGGGCGCTTGACTGGATACAGTCTAACGACCTTCGCCTGGTTGCAGGTGAACATGGTCACGCGGTACCTCGGGAGCAGAGAGAACCTACCTCGCCGAGGTTCAGTTCTCAAGTGATGAGCGAGGAGTTGGTATCAGTTACTATATGGGAAACACGTAAATTTTTCCACCAATCAGGTACCCGAGGTTTGCACAATAATGACTCATAATTTCATGACGTCACAGGAAGTCCTTTGTTTCAGCCAATGACCATTCAATTTCAATTGTTTATTCCTTGATAGAGGAAGCGGGATCCTAGTGCTGTCACTAGGTACCCCTGTACAATGACACCAGAAGCATCTGGCAAGTGTGACAAGTATATACAGTATAAATATTATAAAGGGGCTTACTAAAGCCTAAGGAAGGAAGGATATTCCTTTAACACATAATCAATGTTATATACAAATATCTGGCCTGTATGGGGAGGATCGTGTTCTCGTCAGGGGTCGTGGAGCGGTGGTCCAGCAGGCGTCACGGAAGCGTTGTGTGTGGGGGACATCTTAGGAGGTAGTGGATAAGGGTGCTGCTGCGGGTCTTCAGCATAATGCACAAAAGCGTTGCTCAGGGGATGCGGTACCAATCTCCCAAGCAAAGTCATACCCATAATGATGATACGGGCAGCAATCACGTCCCTTTCCGCGAGTCTTCCATAGACGTACGAGAGGTCAGGAAGTTTACGGAGGACATCATAAGGTGTGGGCGGGGAGTCCAGGGGATGCTGCTTCCCGAGTTTCTCTCTGTTTGCGGCGAATTTGGGTCCGAAGCTGTAAAAGTGTTCGAGGAACAACGTAGTCAGGTGTGGCTTTATTGCAGCCAGTCTTGGCAAAGCCATCTGATGCCTCATTCCCCAAGATACCGACATGACTGGGTATCCAAAACCATCGATTTTTCATTTGCTACTGAATCAGTGCTTTCCTTTCAAACTTAATATAGATTTTCAGATTTTTGGGCAGTTCAACCCTTTTGTAATGTTTTCAACAATGGAGTGTGATGGGTGTTCCTTCAGTGAAGTAGAAATTATTTAAAAAGTAGTTGATGGGAACGATACAGCGTTTGAGTTTTTTGAAACACGGATTTCTTGTGACAATATTACCAATCTCCCTCGGTGCAAACTAGTACCGCAGTGTTCACACCCAACACATTTCACAGGCCATTACTGGCCTAACTCAGATTGCTTGAAGTACAGAACAGTAATGTGCTCTGTCCATGATGCCCAGTGGGAAAGTCGAAGATTGAAGACTGGAGCTGCCCGTGACCAGTGTTTACATCAACAAAAATGGTTGTCCTGATGTTACGATAAGTGTATTAAGAGTTTAAAAAATATTATTATTAAAAGCAAATTAGGATAGTGGATAATTTTTTGCATCAAATATCACGAAGTAGTCCAAATCATTCGCAAATAAGCTGCTAAAATTAAATACGAAGGACTTGTATTAGAGGCCTCTGAAGAAGCAGACGTTTTGAAGTGGATAATTAGGGTAATTATTTATTTTATAACAGCCGCGGCGTTTGGAAATTTTTTTATTATAAATAACGTAAAACAAGTTAGATCTATAACAGTTAAGAAACGCTATCCTCTTGTTTACACTTTGTTGATGATGCTCCTCCCATTCACTCGCCCAACCAATAGGAAGAGAGTTTAGAATGAAATCAGTGTAAATTCGTCCTCCTCTAGACTTAAAAGCTGAATCTGTGTATAAATCTTTCCTCACATTCTGGAGCTGAACCTCGGCGAGTGAAGACATCATTCTTTTCTCCCGAAGCGAAGAAGGTTTGGCTGTATCTGGTCGAGCCCACCTCCCCTCAAGAAACTCAACCTCCTTATCCCAGGGAAGTTATTTCGACTCCTTTGGGATCAAGAGGGTTACGAAGGTCGTTAGCAGACTGGTGAGTGGTGGTCATATTTAACGTCACCTACTGAGGATGGAGGCAGGCCATGCAAGTGTCGGTCGTCCGAGTCACCAAGGACGTCCCAATCAAGATAGAGATTCACAGAGACGACAACTTGTGATGGGAGTGATCTCCCACGCTGAACTTAAACACTTAGAACAAGACGAGCTGGCCAAACTGATAGGTGACCAGCTCCACGCCGTAAGGAAGCTGATCAGTCAAGCGGCCCTTGTCGGCTACCCGAAGACACGACCACAATAGGGTGTGTCATAGGAGGCTGGTCCTTAAACAAACCCAACTAACACATTTTTTTCTGTTTCAGACTTGATGCATTTATAAGTTGATAATATTTACATGGCTGCTTGTGCCAGGACGAGGAACCAAAAATCCAGCCATCTCTAGCTACTATCTTGGGTCTGGAGAGAGCCCTTGAAGTCGGAGTTGCCTACATTGAGAGATGCTTTGAGATACGGTATGAATCAGACAAATCAGTGAAAAGAACCAAAGAACTTACACAAACAAAGACATTGCCAGTGATATGACCAAGCTGTCTTGGCATTAGTACACTCTCTGGCTAACGCTCAGTTCAAGCCTCCAGTCATACGTCAGCTGAAGATTAGTGAGAGACTATAGCCAGTTGGGGAAAAGGCAAGAGATATCTCTTGGGAGAGGAAAACTTGCAGTTAAGGACAGCTTTGCTGCCAACTGGACCAGTTATTTGACATAATTACTTGCAAGTGCCCCAATTGTTCTCTGGTCCTGGAGCCGGACGCGATCGTGACTGTAAACTGGAGGCCCTACATCTCCGTGGTATTTGCAAGCGTGAACTGAAGCATTCCTGTGATCGAACTGGCATTTGTCAAAGCACAGAGAGAGAAGACTGGCAGTATAGGGGCCTCACATGATTTCTTGCTTCTAAGATATTCCTGAGTCCAAGAGTCAGAGCCGCCAAGAGAGACAGAAGAGGGCGGAAGAGCCGAGGCAGACGAGAAGGCCCGTGGGTGAGGTGTAAAAAGGCCGATGATTGGAGTCAGTTTATCCAGAGTTTAATGACTTCCCCATGGCTGATCCGAGTGCTGACCAGGAGAATGGGTGACTTTGTCCCTAACCCAGAAAATAATGATCCCAAACCTTCCAGGCATAAGATCTGAAATAGAAAGATATCCTATATTAGCTCTGGCCAGCAGTGACACCACACTGGTCTCTGTGAGAAACCGCAGAGATAGCAACAGCTGCCTGGATTGACGGTGGTTTGATACCACCGATGATGTTCACCTGGTGATAGATCATAACAAAGTAAGGAGAGCTCAGGGGAGAAACTTGTCAGTAACCTAGAAGAGGAGTTTGATAAGGATAAGAGTGTTTGAACCAATTGTCGGTTCTGATGGGAGAAGGATGACACCAAGTGTTCATGAAAAGCTGAGATTCTGGACAAGCTGTTCCCTGCCATGGTGAAGGAGGAACACTACTCCTGCTGCAGGAAATCAGAGGGTGCTATTTGTGCAAGTAATACCCAGAGAAAGATGACACATCAGGAAACCAGCTGAGATAGTGGTAGATAACATTGTGAACTGGCTCAGAGAGAGGAACGTAGACCAGACCCTGCAGGCCATTGAGTGTAATAGCACCACATGAACACAGGGGTGGCAAGGGGGGGCCATACAGTGGATAGAGCGGAAGATTGCAGGAAGCTGGTCTGGATTGTTTGTGACCTCCACACCAACGAGTTGCCACTCTGACATCTAACCAGAGCTGGATGGCGACTTTTCAAACAACAGATGGTCTGGTCCTCTCGGCAAGATGCTGGACTCTGCCACTGAGTTAGAAAAATAAATCCGGAGCTTTGGAAAAAATCCGCGCTGCCCCTCCACTCGCTGAGCTTGCACATACTGCTCATTGTTTAACTGGTTTCATCTCAGTACTATGGTTACATGATTTGCAGTGCCACAAAATCCGGGTCATGCCTGATAGACTTGCTTACCCGCAGATAGGTCCATTCCCTACATTCTAGGTGGCTCACAACGGCTCTGTGGGTTCTGCAGAATCAGTCGCTCATCATAAACTGCAAGGGAACCAGCTTCTACAACCTGAGACTTATTGTCCAATTCATCGTGAGTCTCTACTTGCCAAATTTGGCTCAACACCTCAAGGTCAAGTCACTGTTCTCCTAAGGTCCGGTGCATGTTCTCTTCCAGCTTGAGCTCCTGAGGAGTCAGCCATGAAGGCTGTTCAGGATTAGGAGCAGACTGTGAGGAGATTCTCCGGTATATGCTCATCCCCGAGGCAGTTCTGCAGACAATGCTCTGCAGTAAGGATGAGGAGAGAGAGTGGCAGTCAAAAGATCTTGGATATGAGACTTATGAGAGACTGCATGACGACCCAGTTGGTGACGATTCCTTCAGGGTGAGTGAAGACTCCTGAAGTCAATCTTAGGTGCCAAGACCTCACTGATCTCATGATCTGATGTAAAGATCCAGGCTGGCAGTGAGCCCCTACCTGCAGCCTCCCCAATGTTCACAAGCCAGAGCTCTCCCCGACAACCCCATGCATGTCCCTGACTGGCCCCTCGCGACACCCAGAGTATAGAGCGGTGTACAGTGCAAGTGAGCCGCAGGCCAGTGGTATCACGCAGGCTGTTGGTATAGGGAAGGCTACATCCGAGCTCAGGTGGTCAGCAGGGAGGTGATGAGTAGAAACAGAAGCAAGAAAGTTATATGTTCTCTGCGGTGCAGCAACACCGGTCGTGTAGTAGTAAAACCGTTTTTGTATTTGATGATTTTGTTTTCTAAAGGAATATTAAATTTAATAAATGTGGCCAAGATCTTCATTCGCTTTACTATTCTGATCATTTTCATCCCAATAAATTAACCTGATACATTTACTTTACTTTAAATAAGCTATTTAGTGGTGTTGGTAAAAGGAGGGAATACTGAATTTTCATAAGATTTCAAGTTAAAATTCACCTAGCAAAAATGTTCCTTTCAAATTCATGATATCACATGATTCTGCACATAGAATCACATCATTAATACCATGTAATGATTTTTTCAAACTAAAAAAAAAAAATTTCGGCCTCCGTATGACACACCCTACTACCACAAGAAGTACGATTGAGATGGGAGACCATCCCAGTTAAGACCTACGTTGCCAGACCCAAACGATGCTACAAGTGCCAGGTAATATGGACATCCTGAAAGTGCCGGACCCGGGAGGTATGTGCCACGTGCAGGACCACCGGGCACCAGCTCACCACATGCTCGGCGACCGAAAAGAAATGCGCAGCTTGTGGCCATCATTCCTCCGACGGGGTGTCCCAAGTGAAGGGTGAAGTGCAGAGTAGCTAAGCTGTGAAACAAGGAACGACTGAGCTACAAGGAGGCTCTCCTTGTAGTGAAGAAAGAAGAAAAAAGAAACAAGAACAAAACAAGACAGAAGAAAAGAAAAAACATGAACAAGAACCAGATATATTAAGAGAAAGACTTTAAGAGTTTATCGACTTCTGCGAATAATTACAAGAACTAGAAGATCAGAAAGAAGGAATCTGGGAAGTGCAGAAGAAGCAAGAAGAAAAAAGAACAGGTCAAAATAACAAGACTACGGCCGTAATGACCATCGATGTTGACGGCCAACAAACAAACGAACGAAATATTTCGAACCGGTCTAAAAGAAAGTAGGAAAATGTGTGTTAAGTTTCTTGCGTTTTATTTTTTTCTCATCACGTTTTCTCTACCAAGTTCCCTATACTTAATTATTTTAACGAAGCAATTAATGTGAAATACTGTACAAGCAGGGTTGCTCTCCACTGATTGGTCAAGGGTTATTACCAAAGAGGCAACCCTACATTTTATTTCTTTCAATCACTTTCAAGGCGAACATTCATCCTGAGTTCAGTTTCACTGCTAGTGTATTGAGAACTCTAATGTCGAGGGAGTCCCTGGCAGTGATTAAGGTCTCGGGGTCATCGGTATCAGGCTTGTAGTCCATGTAGGGGAAGTACGGCCGTGTGACGATGAAGAACTTGTGACCTTTCATGTCTTGAAGGTGTTCTGTACAGGGAAATGTCAGTTAGGTTGAACTGATTGTTAAATAAGAACATAAGAATGGAGGAAAATGAAGCGGGCCTATTGGTCCATACTGGGCAGCACCTTTTACACCTAACCCCTATGGCTCATATATCCGTGCCAACCTATATTTGAAGCTATCCAGGGTATTCGAGTTTATGATGATGTTTGGTAACTTTCACTCGTCCACTACTTTATTTCCCCCAAAAATGTTTACATATTTCGCCCTTAAATCTAAATGAGTTTGATACTGGTTGGACAGTTTGAGTACCTTTGTTATATCACTTTTGTTTAACACCGACTTCCATTTATACACCTCAATCATATCGCCCCTCACCCTACGTCTCTTGAGGGAGTGCAAATTAAGATTCTTTAACCTGTCTCTGTACTCAAGGTTTCTAATGATCTGGATTAGTCTTGTCATTCTACTCGGAATTCTTTCTGAGGATTCCACTTTTCGTATTAGTCTGTCGTGGGGGACTCAGTCGAAGGCTTTGGTAAGGTCGAGATATAGCACACCATAATCGTGTCCATCATCCACTGATTCGAAAACAGATGAAAAGAATGTTAATAGATTTGTCATACATGAACGCCCACCTTTGAAGCCCACTAGGGTTGTGGGTTAGTGACCCTGTCTCGGTGGGCTAATTCTCTCCAAAAAGTGCCTCTCCCGGTGATTTCGAATAGAGTTTTAAATTAATGCTTCCAGCAACTTGCCTACAATTGATGTTAAACTGATTGGGCGGTAGTTAGAAGATAGTGGTCCATCTCTCTTCTTGAAAACCGGTCGCATTCGCTATCCTCCAGGATTTTGGTTCTACACCCGTTTTTAATGACATGTTAAACAAATTTGCTAAGGGCATACTAAGCTCCTCCTAACATTCCTTTAGTACTCTGGCAAATATCTCATCGGGACCTGATCAATTGATAGGCTTTAGTTTTTCTAATTGCTTAATTACATCGTTACTGGTCACTACTATCGCGCTTAATCTAGAAGGTAGTAGGCAGCTATCAAACGAAAGTACTACCTAAGGAAGATATTGGAAGCATAATGTGATGTCTAATGGTAGACTCATGGCATCACGAAAATTGTGACTAAATCCCAGGATGCTGATTTGACGTTCTGACTCATTTCCACACAATTGTAGGGTCTCATTTGTTTCCGTTAATTTGACAACCCAACATACGTATAGCGATTCTTACTATTGATTTTGTTTTCGTTATATATATTATTATTATTAATATTATTTTTATTATTATTATTGTTATATATATATATATATATATATATATATATATATATATATATATATATATATATATATATATATATATATATATATATATATATATATATATATATATATATATATATATATATATATATACATATATTTATATATATATATATATTATATATATTATATATATATTATATATATATTATATATATATAGTGTATATATATATATATATATATATATATATATATATATATATATATATATATATATATATTATATATATATATATATATATATATATATATATATATATATATATATATATATATATATATATATATACAAGTAAATCACTGTAGGTGCGTGATCTAGGTATATGCTGATACCACAAGAAAGAAAAACACGAGTTCCTAAGCGCTTTCGTGTAATTCACATCTTCAGGGGTAGTACAGACTAGAGAGAAATACAAACTAAGGTGTATATATACAGAGGAGGGTGAGACCAGGTCCACAATGGTCAGGTATTAGGTAATGACCCAACTAATCTTTCAATAGCACACAACGGTTGGTGGTCAGGTCAGATGGTCAGGTGACCCGGCCTCCTCACCTGGTTACAAATCTTCTTAATTACAAAATTGTCCAGCTTGTACATGTTACTCAAATTCATGTTGAATGCTTCGGTATGTTTAATAAGACTAGATTCTATGATGTTCCTACTATCAATTGAATTACATGGTAATATTGAGGAGGCATTATCCTAGTCAATGCAATGCTTGTTATCCTCAAATGAACAAACAGAGCATTGGATTCCTGGCCTGCCCTAACACTGTATTTGTGTTGTTTAATTCTAGTTGCAAGATCTTTACCTGTCTGGCCTAAGAAAAACATATTACATTCCTTGCAAGGAACTTTATAAATGCAACCAATTGTGTTGTTGGGGGAGTTCTTGATTAACATTTGTTTAACAGTGCATGAGTTTTTAAATGCCACATTGACGTTCCAGGTTTTTAGTTAGAACATAAGAATGGAGGAAACTGCAGCGGGCCTATTGGCCCATACTGGGCAGTCCCGTTTACACCGAACCCCTATTGCTCATATGAGCATCCAACCTATGTTTGAAGCAATTCAGCGTATTCGAGTTAATGATGATATTTGGTAAATTGTTCCATTCATCCACTACTCTGTTTCCAAACCAGTGTTTACCTATATCACGCCTAAATCTAAATTTGTCTAATTTAAAACTATTGTTACGAGTTCGCTCCTGGTTGGATAGTTTGAGTACCTTTGTAATATCCCCTTTGTTTAGCCCTGCCTTCCACTTATACACCTCCATCAGGTCGCCCTCTTCTACGTCTCTCAAGGGAGTGCAAATTAAGATGCTTTAACCTGTCTCTATACTCAAGGTTCCTAATGCCCGGGACTAGTCTTGTCATTCTCTGAATTCTTTCCCAAGGATTCTATATCCATTCTGTAATACGGTGACCAGAACTGAACTGCGTAATCCAGGTGTGGTCTCACAAGAGCAAGATACAGTTTTAGGATGACCTCGCTAGTCTTGTAACTAACACCTTGTGTGAACCCAAGTACTTTATTAGCCTTGTTAGGAGGAAAACACATTGTTTACTTGGCTTAAGGTTCCTACTTATCATTACTCCTAAATCTCTCGCAGTCGGATTTCTATGGCATCGTTGTTCATCTGGTATCTGGTTTCCTGTTTACATCTCCTATACTGATTACTTTACATTTGTCGACGTTGAATTTCATCTGCCATTTTTCAGACCATTCGAAAAATTTGTTTAGATCTTCCTAGTTTTGCTGAGACCTCTTCAGATTTGATAACACGTCCTATTTTAGTGTCATCAGCAAATTTACTTATGTTGCTGTCAATGCCGATATCTATGTCGTTTATGTATATAATAAATAATAATGGTCCAAGCACTGAGCCTTGGGGAACTCCACTTGTGACGTTGCTCCAATGGGACTTAGTGCCGTTAATGCTCACTCTCTGTTTCCTGTCCTGTAACCACGCCCTAATCCATTTAAGATGTCACCTTGATGCCATGAGCTTCACCTTCTAATTAGTCTTTCGTGGGGGACTCTGTCGAAGGTTTGCTAAAGTCGATATACCACATCATAATTGTGCCCCTCGTCCACCGATTCGAAAACTGATGAAAAGAATGTTAATAGATTAGTTAGGCAAGAACGCCCGCTTGTGAAGCCATGCTGGGAATTATTGATCAATAGGTGCTTCTCCAGGTGATTTGGAATAGAGTTTGAAAGGATTGCTTCCAGTAATTTGCCTACTATTGATGTTAGACTGATTGGGCGATAGTTAGAGGATCGTGATCTATCCCCCTTCTTGAAAATCGGTATTACATTCGCTATCCTCCAAGATTCTGGTACTACAGCTGTTTTTAATGACATGTTAAACAACTTTGCTAAGTGCATACTAAGCCTTTCCTTACATTCCTTTAATACTCTGGCAAATATCTCATCGGGACCAGGTGACTTATTAGGCTTTAGTTTGTCTATTTGCTTACTAACATCGTTACTAGTCACTACTATCTCACTTAATTTGTTTTCTTCACTATCTCTGAATCGAGTCGGTGCCTCGGGTATCATGTTTAAATTTTCGGTGGTGAAAACTGTTGAAAAATATTTATTCAAATTATTGTTCATTTCTCCGTCGTTATCAGTGAGCTCGCCGAAGTCTGACCGTATTGGTGTGAGAAATTTTTGTGAAATGGTAATATTAAGATATTCTTATGGTCATGGGTGGGCTTGGGATCAGTTCTACAAAAAGTTTTCTCAGTAATGTTTAGGCATTTGTCTATGAAAGATCTAGGGTATTTAAGGTTTGAGCCAATATTATATATATATTTGTATTCCTCATCAATGAATTCCGGACTGCAAATTCTCAAGGCACGTAAAAACATTGTTGAAAATACATGAATTTGAGTAACGGCATGTACAAGCTGGACAATTTTGTAATTAAGAAGATTTGTAACCAGGTGAGAAGGCCGGGTCACCTGACCATCTGACCTGACCACCAACCGTTGTGTGCTATTTAAAGATTAGTAGGGTCATTACCTAATACCTGACCATTGTGGACCTGGTCTCACCCTCCTCTATATACACCTTGGTTTGTATTTCTCTCTCTAGTCTGTACTCACCCCTGAAGATGTGAATTACACGAAAGCGCTTGGGAACTTGTGTTTTCTTCTTCCTTGTGGTTATCAGCATATACCTGGATCAGGGAACTACAATGATTTACTTGCATATATATATATATATATATATATATATATATATATATATATATATATATATATATATATATATATATATATATATATATATTATATATATATATATATATATATATATATATATATATATATATATATATATATATATATATATATATATATATATATATATATATATATATATATATATATATATATATATACTTATAATGTATACAGCCTTAACAACATCAACCTAGAGAAGTCGACTTGTGAAAGAGACCTAGGGTATTGTAAGCCCGGACCTACGGCCTAAAAACAGTGCGTTAATGTTCGAAATAAGGCAAACAGAGTATTGGGTTTTATATCTAGAAGTGTAAGTAACAAGAGTGCAGAGGTCTTATTGCAACTATATCTTGCGCTAGTTAGGCCGCACCTCAAATGTGCGGTTCAGTTCTGTGCCCCTATTATAGAATGGATATAATTCACTAGAGTCAGTGCAGCGAAGAATGACAAAATGATTCCGGGGCTTAGAAACCTTCCATATCAGGATAGGTTAAAGAAACTTCACTTGCATTCCCTAGAAAGACGAAGAGTGGGAGATATGATAGAAGTATTTAAGTGGGTGAAAGGAATCAATAAAGGATATAGATAAAGTTCTTATAATATCCGAGCAGGATAGGACTCGAGCAACGGATTCAAGTTGGATAAGTTTAGGTTTAGAGGGAGATAGGAAGAAATTGGTTCACAAATAGGGTGGTGGACGAGTGGAACAAGCTTAGCAACTTTGTAGTAAGTGCGGAACTCTGGAAAGTTTCAAAAGGAGGCTAGATAGATTCATGGATGATAGAGAGTGGTAGTAACTCTCGACAGGAGCTGCCATGCACAGGCCAACCGACCCATTGCAGACTTCTTATTTTCTTATGTTCTTATGTATATATATATATATATATATATATATATATATATATATATAAATATATATATATATTTTGATATATATATATATATATATATATATATATATATATATATATATATATATATATATATATATATATATATATATATATATATCTTGATATCGGAAATGAAACACGCTGTCTTATTCACATCTTCAGAGGCAACTGAGGCCTCTGAAGATGTCTTGAATAAAGAGAAAGCTAAGGTGCTCCGTTGTTTCCATTTTCCCATGTGATTTTATCAAGATTTATCTTATCCACGTTTTCATTGTGGATTTACATGATATATATATATATATATATATATATATATATATATATATATATATATATATATATATATATATATATATATATATATATATATATATATTTATATTTATATATATTTATATATATATTTTTTTTTTTAAGTCTGTGCCTCGAGTTTCATGTTAAATTTTCAGTGGTGAAAACTGTTGAAAAATATCTGTTCAGATTATTGGTCATTTCTCCATCGATATCCGCTATCTCGCCGGTATCTGACTGTATTGGTTCAAGCTTGTCTCGTGTTTTAGCTTGGAAGAATCGTTATGACACCTCCCATCAGTGTGATAAAGCATTTTGGTGAGGTAGTGTTGTTAGACTCATTATCAAATTACAGTTTTGTTAATAAGCATACTATTTAACTATACTAGTAGAATAAATATCGTAATAGAAATTCGACGAAGGGTGACTTTAACTTTAACCAAAATAGAGCGCAACAACAAAATAAAGTTCCCGGGAGGTTCAAATACCGTTGTCAGATATGATGCGCCTACAAAGTTCTACAGTTGAAGTAATGTTCTCCTGCAACACAGGTTGTACGTCTGCCTCCCCGTTGTTGCAGTACAAACACCGTCGGTAAATCCTTACGCGTATATATTCAGCTGTGGAAAAGGTAAAATTTAGATATAAAGAACAAAATAACTGTATGCCCTATACAAAACATGGTTTAGCTTTTCACCATATCGTCAACCGGGAAGCTGGTTTTACAAAAGATCGCATACTGACCATGTACTTGAATGACTTTGTTGAGGCGTAAGTGTCCGTGTCTTGGTAGGATGTGGAGGGTGGGATAGTGCATGGCCAAGTAGAGGACGTGGGCAGTATTACGGAAACTGTGGTGGAGGAGAATAGCCTTCACTCCTGCCCTCCTCGCCAGTCCCACCACCACCACCCGTGTCTCTGGGAGTTGCCACATCCCCGCTGCTTCCAACAGGCTAAATAGAGGAATCTTACTTTATTCACGTCCTAGTGTGTAGACAGTTATATTTTGACCACACAAATTTTCTCCTACGCCAGAAATCAGACAGAGGTCATCAAGTAAATTTTTTTGACAACAGTCATCAAAAAACAATTGCATTACACATTGGCACTTCTAAGTAGGTCTAGAAAATATACCTTAAGATGAGTTGGGTGTTGTTGGTGTTGATAGTGAGGTCGAGGATCAGTGCCCGACAGGTGGTCTTACTGTCCCCCCACAGCCCCTGGAGGAGGTGGTCTTGGGCCAGCTGGTCCTGGGAGAACACCAACCCTGCTTCCACCACCAGGCTAGCCTCCAAATACATACTCGTGTGTCTGAGGGACGCAAGTTTATATCACAATACCCCTAAATGAGGGGAGGGGTGTTCCCAGTCAATTTAGTCCTAGAAAAAGACCTGCAAATTTCTATTCTCAAAACATTACACAATAAATAAGTTCACCTGAGTACACTGGAGAATACGTGTGAGTGTTGACTAGTGGTGATGAGTATCACCTGACAGCTGGTGAGGTGGTGTTTCATCGTCTGAGCCACCACCAAGCCCACATCCACGCTCCTGTGCTTCAAGGGTCCATCGGCTTCACGACTAATGACAAGCGGAACACTCATCATCAAAGCAGCAATCAGCAAAGCACGATAACAAGGTGGCACCATTGTAACCTGTGTATGTATGGTTGACGCTTATTGTAAATACTAAATATACAATGCCCAGTTTGTAGAAAAGATCACGTTAAAACAAAAATGTAGCGGTGAATTTTGATTTGCTAGAGTACAGACAGTTTGAGGACTAGATTACCAGAGTTGTTCCTTAGCCAAATAACGTTAACTGTGCATAAATTAATGAACTCTCTCTCTCTCTCTCTCTGTAGGTGCGCGTAGGTTATCAGCATATATATACATACATATATATATATATGCAAGTAAATCACTGTAGTTGCGCCTGATCCAGGTATATGCTGATAACCACAAGGAAAGAAGAAAACACGAAGTTCCTGCTTTCGTGTAATTCACATCTTCAGGGGTGAGTACAGACTAAGGAGAAGTACAAAACAAGGTATATATATATACAGAGGAGGGTGAGACCAGGTCCACAATGGTAAGGTATTAGGTAATGACCCTACTAATCTTTAAAAAGCAAAGCAACAGTCGGTAGTCAGGTCAGAGGGTAAGGTGACCCAACCCCACCTGGCTACAAATCTTCTTAATTACAAAATTGTCCAGTTTGTACATGCCATTACTCAAATTCAGGTTGACTGCTTCGGTATGTTTAATGAGACTAGACTCTATAATGTTCCTACTGTCAATTGAATTACAAGGTAATATTGAGGAGGCATTATCCCAGTCAATGCAATGCTTATTATCCCTCAGATGAACAAACAGAGCATTGGATTCCTGTCCTAACACTATATTTATGTTGTTTAAGTCTAGTTACAAGATCTTTACCTGTCTGGCCTAAGTAAAACATATTTACATTCCTTGCAAGGAACTTTATAAATGCAACCAATTGTGTTGTTGGGGGAGTTCTTGATTAACATTTGTTTAACAGTGCAAAAGTTTTTAAATGCCAAATTGACGTTCCAGGTTTTTAGTTGTAAAGGAATTTGAGAGAAATTTTTGTGAAATGGTAATACTAAGAGATTCTTATGGTCATGAGTGGGCTTGGGATCAGTTCTCTTGAAAGATTTCTTAGTAATGTTCAGGCATTTGTCTAGGATTTGCCTACACCCTCCTCTGTATATATACACCTTGTTTTTATACTTCTCCTTAGTCTGTACTCACCCCTGAAGATGTGAATTACACGGAATTACTGGACTTAATTTCTCACTTGACTTCGGGTTTATTAAATATTATTAGATGGTAATTGCAGTGGAAGCGCCCTGAGAAAAACCCGAACCAGCACAGAAACACTTAAATTTACTAACAAAATGAATTCTCCACGACCCGTAGAAGGATAGCATCTGTGACTAGGATGAATGAGACACACTGTAAAATTTAGACACTTATTCTCCAACTACAGACAAAATCAAATAATGGTACACCAACATATAGACCTCTTAACCTGAACTTAAAACACTACTGTGGGGAATAAAAGTTATTCATGATATTGAAATTATTAGAAACTCAGACAATGCCTCATTAGACAACAATAAATTCAAAGTATTAAGAAATGTTGCTTGCGCACATGAAACAGGCCTTAAGGGCTTTCAACAAAATATTATCAGTCCCTGAGAAAATGGTATAAAAATAAGAAATTATTAACTCCACCATAAATAGGCCTTAAGGGCACTCATTAAAATTATGTTGCACCAACAGATGCAAGCCTTTAGGGTTTTTAACCAAATGATATCAATCACTGAGAAAATGGTATACAAAATAAGAAATTATTAAATCCACCATGGATAGGTCTAAAGGGCACTTAATAAAATTATTTTGCCCCAACGGATGCACACTCTAACCTAACCAAAACAATACCGGGAACAAAGGTTATACCTGAGATTGGAAATATAAAGAAATATTAAATGCATTAAAGGAACTAAATCACAATATCACTTACAACAGAAGGGAGAAACCTCATCTGAAAAACAGTTCCCTCATTCTCTGGTTTCAATTAGTGACACAAACATTAAAAACAATACTCTCAAAATTATTTAAGAAATACACACACAGCAAGGCTATATCAGTAACTGAAAAAAAATGGCATTAACTACACACAGAAAGACAATATCAGTGACTGAGTAAATATTATCACTATTTTAAGAAGTTACTAATTCCCCCAATACCCATAAACCATGCTTCTTAACCTAACACATAGATTCCATGCACCTGTGTAGTTTTATGGCACAAACCAATAGGCACAGCTTTTCCACCTTGGAAAATGTACCACGTTCCACTAGACTCCTGGTCCCAGCTGGCTTCATTTACACTCAGTACACCCATGAGACGGAAGGGAGTGAGCCAATCAGACCTTGTTCAGTTGAGAGAAGCTTTAGCCCGTAGTAAAATGTTTTCACTTACTCCTTGAAGATATGTGATATTGTGAGCCGAGGTAGAAGAGATCTGGCGACCCCAGACGATCGTCGGTTGGGCACCCAGACAGCTGGTGTTACTTGAGAGATCCCTTGTAAACCCGGCTAACCAGTGACAAGACTGCACTGATCGTTCCAACTGCGATAATCGCTAATCTTCAATCATCATCGGCAGTCTCAAATGCAGTCATCACTCGAGGTCATCACTGGCAGTCATGTGGGTTCTGACGAAAACCCTGCAATGAACTCACTGTAAGCCATTGCTAATTTTATCACTGCCCTAAACCCTGTCTGAGATTGAATGAGACTTACTTGTCATACTGCAATGTCGCAACACAGGTGACTAGACCACGTGACCGTTTTGTCCTGTCTGACGCACAACCGTCCTCTCTGTTCGAACGCTGCCGTCTCACTGAGAAACAGCCAGGCTCCTGCTTTCCCAAGCTTAGGCCTACGTGACATATTTTCTCGCATAACTAATAGCTTCGTTGGGACACATGTAACATATTTAGACTGAGAAACGATCCATAAAAATTTCAAATTTAATAATGTCATTTAATTTCATGATTTGCGTTCATATTAATTCAGTAAATTACATTTAATATCGTATAGGCCTAGTTCCAGAAACTCCACTACGTGTGGGAGCGCTCCTCCCTCAGTCGACCTTGAAAACTCAGTATCGCCAATATGGCGCACGTATCTAAATCACACTAAAATTTCCGAATATATATATATATATATATATATATATATATATATATATATATATATATATATATATATATATATATATATATATATATATATATATATATATATATATATATATTATATATATATATATATATAAATATATATAAATATATATATATTTATATAATATATATATATATATATATATATATATATATATATATATATATATATATATATATATATATATATATATATATATGCAAGTAAATCACTGTAATTCACATCTTCACCTTGATGTGAATTACACGAAAGCGTTTGGGAACTTTGTGTTTTTCTTTTTTCCTTGTATATATATATATATATATATATATATATATATATATATATATATAGTATATGCTGATAACCACAAAAAGGAAGAAAGAAAACACAGAGATTCCCAAGCGCTTTCATTAAATTCACATCTTCACCCTTGAAGATGTGAATTACCGCAGCTTTTAAAACTCTAATGATTATCCTTATATATATATATATATATATATATATATATATATATATATATATATATATATTTAACAGGAGAAAGGTCGTGCTGATCGTGCTCCCGCTAGAGACCAGGAAAATGGCCGCTTTGGATCGTTGTGCCGTGGGGAAGAGGAGGGAGTGTGTAGGGGAAGGGAGACCTCCCTTACACACGCTGTTAAGGCAGCTGGGGCAGTTGAGGGTAGAGGTTGACACTCCTAAAGGGGAAAATGAAGCCCTCAGGACGGAACTCCTTCCAGGTAGGTGTCCTGCCTAGCAGGACACCTGCGGAAGAGGAGCAGGCGTGGAAGTGGACGTCTCCAAGGGACTAGGGGTCAGGCTTAGGAAAGCTGACCAGGGTGTGGAGTGCAGTAACCCTTACCAGGTGCTGCAGGAAGCTGGAGAGGAAGAAGAGGCTTGGACAGTATGGATCAAGGAGGAAAGGGCAGTTGTACAAACCCTGCCCACAGGCCACAAGGTCGTTGTTGTATTTGGTGACAGCCAGGTGAGGTTTATGGATAGGGCTTTTGTGCGAGAGAGATAGAAACGTAGGACTAGGGTAAAATGTTTTCCCTGGGGCTGGGATAGGGCATGTAGCGGAGAGGTTAGATGAGAGTTTTGTCAGGGAGGTACCAATCCAGTAGTGTGTCTTAGTGTGGGAGGCTGACATAGAAATGGAGTTAGGAGTGAGGAACTTTCCGAGAGGTATAGGGAGGCGCTGGGAAGATTAGAGGTAGGGAGGGATCCCCACTTGTTGTGGTGTCTTGCCTAGAAGGGTTGGTCGTGAATGGCTGTCACGGCAATTTGCTGGTAATTGCCGACTGGAAAACATTGATGACGGGCAACGATTTTATGGCAACGACTACCTGTACTGTCGCGACGGAGTACACTTGTCTCGTGAGGGGGTAAAGACGTTGTCTGCATCCCTGGAGCGTGAAATTGTCACTCCGAAGGGGGGGTTTCGCCAGTAGAGAGGGGTCGGGGAAAATGGGAGTCAAAAAACAAGCAGGTCCTGGGAAGTAGTGAAACAGAAGTAGATAATGCTGAAAATATAGTTAGTCATAATAACAAACATCAAAGTAATAAATGTAAAACAGATAGAAACGGAAGAAATATATTGAGTGTTTATTATACTAATAGTAGAAGCCTGTGTAACAAAATGGACCAGCTCAGGGCCATTGTTAGTAAAGAGAACATAGATATAATTGCAATAACGGAAACATGGATAAATTCAAACAGCAAGCATTTTTTAGCAGAATTTCATATTCCAGGATATAACCTATTTAAATTTGACAGAGTAGGAAGGAGAGGTGGCGGTGTAGCAGTGTATATCAGGGTGTCATTAAAAGGCTGCAATAAATCAAACATTAAAACAAATAGCGACAATGAAAGTATTTGGGTAGAGATTGGTGAGGG